TACAGGATCATAAGCAACCTTAAGGCCTGGTGTTCCATAAAGCTACAATTTTCTTCCTGAGGAAAGCATCGTCATACCAGACTGACACCAGGTGACAACTATATTTTTGGGGTGGGGCTAGAGTGCTAGAATTAAAGGCATAAACCACCACAGCCCAGCAAGGTAACAACTATTTGAAAATTAAGACACTATTATGCTAAGGCCCTGCACTTCAAGACTTTCATTTACAGCTGAGCGTTGGTGGCGCACGCCTTTAATCCCAGCACTTGGGAGGCAGAGGCAGGTAGATCTCTGTGAGTTCGAGGCCAGCCTGGTCTACAGAGCAAGCTCCAGGATGGCCTCCAAAACAATACAGAGAAACCCTGCCTCAGAAAAAAAATAAAAACTTTCATTTAGGCCCTCAGGCAGGGAGGAAGAAAATTCTTGGGACAGCTAGTAACAGCCTGGAGCCTAGGTCTTGGGAGGGTTCCCTAGATGCCTGTTGTATTGACAATAATGCAGAGCTCTTTTTCTAAAACCAGGAATATGCTTGGTAGAGCTGGTAATGATCTGGCGTTAGGGCCTTTGTTGAAAGGTCACTTCAGTTTCTGAGATCTCAACTCTTCCCACCATATGGAGCAATGGTGATCTGTCCCAAGGCCACTGTGTGTGGAAGCAGTAGTGTTCTTGAGATACCCTGTGTTTCTCTTGTGTACCATCATTTGTGAAGCCATCTCCTGAATTTATCCCATTTTATGATGTTTCCTGCTACTTCATAATGTCTCCTGTTCCTTCCATTGCCCCCTGGAGTAGTACACAAGATGCTTCTCAGGAAGCTTAAGTCCTAGCACACTGGAGGCAGAAAAAGGCAAATCTCTGTGAGTTCAAGGCCAGGTTCCTGGTGTCCCAAAGAATTTATTGTAGGATATATCTTTTCTGTGAAGTCCTCCCATATGCCTAATTGGATAGACCTACAAGTTGTCTGTCTGTTTAATTTGCTAAAACTGTTGCCTGGAGTATGAACCTGCCCTGGTCACCACATGGACCAAGAGAACCATAGTCTGGCTCATGGTTCATAGAAATCTCAGAAGAAATGACTGTTCAGCATACCTGCTATGAACACCCTACTCTCACCATGGTGTAGCTTGTGCTCCTCCTAATGACTTCCTAGAGCAGAAAGAGAGGAGAATCCTGGAAAGAAACTGCAAGCTACCTGCCACCAGTATTCCTGAGTACTAAGCCTTCCCAGAGTCCCTCATTGGCTAGGACCACCCAGATTGGCCTAGAATATTAGAAGTCACCCTACCAGGTGAACAGAGATCAAGTGAATCAGATAGCACAGTCCTTCCAACTCTGCCATTCCAGCATGGCACACAAATGCCTAGTCAAGAAAGTTTATATCCAAGTAGACATCCTTCTACTTTCCTAGAACACATCCTGTAACTGGTGCAAAACAAAGGGTCCTTTGTGTGCACAATCCATTGTACACTCAATGTACAGTGCTGCCAACCCTTGAATTCATAGTTGGGAAATATTGCAGCCAAATGTATGTCACATTCAAACAGTAACTGTTGTTACTCTATAACTGTTATTTAAGTAAAACTATCCATTAATTAGAAAACACTGTGGATCATGGTTGAGCTTGGGGACAGGAAAGAGTCCTTGGACATGTTGTAAATATGATCTAAAAATTATCTTGAAAAGTTGAAAAGCATATTATGGTCATATGCTTCAGAGACTAGGGATATCTATTAGAGTACATAAAGCACTTCTCAAACCTTTTCTCTCAACCCAGAAAAGTAACCATCCTGTTGGGCAGGCTACAACACTTTACCCATATCTATTATAACAACTGTAACAATTTGTTGTCATAAGGTCTTTCTTTTATCCAGATTCTTGATTGCCCTCATGTGTGGACCCCAAGAAATGGCCAATCAGTATAATTCTCGATCATATAGAATTGAATACCTAATTCCACATTGCTGATCCCTACTACTATTAAAAGAGAAAAGCTCAATTTCCATTCTGCCTCTTGCTTTTTGCACCATGACTCCACAAGTTTCAAAATTGGTCAATGAACACAGTTCTCACACAAGAACCTCTTCATTTATAAGTCCATACTAAATATCAGAAAGCTTTGAGTTCACTAATCATCTGGTCTATTTTTCACCCTCACAGACCAGGCAAGGCCCAGACTGGAAGGGGCTACAGGATTGTCTTCCAAGCCCTGGGCAGGAGAATCAGGATTAGGTATTCAAAGCAATTCTCAATGATACAGCATGAGGCAAGCCTGAGCTATATGAGACTTTTATATACAGAAAGCAGTAATGAATATCACTTGAGAGAAAAGTAATGAAACTAGTAAAAACCGTGAAACATTGGAGAACAGAAACAAATAGACATAAAAGCAATAATTCACTTACACATATAAAAAATGATACCAATAAATGATATTTTACAAAATTAAAACAATGTATTTTTAGTAATTTAGAAAAATGTAGCTATATTTGTTGTGTCAGGTTTGCAGAATCCCAGAGATTAATCCAACATTCTGTTTATTGTTTAGCAGGCCAGCTCTTTCCATGGTGGAGGAAATGAGATGCCCACCAGCCAAAAGGAAGAGGTTTTAAAGGGGCAGACAATAAGGTTTAAGGCCACACATTTCAGTTCCCATGGTTACTTAAGGTCTTACAAAGAACAGAATAAAGCAGTAACTATACATTGTAAGCAAGATACAATTGAATAAGATAATACAGGGCATGGGTTTGCAGGCTTAAGGGGAAATAGGGTCTGTCAGCTATCCCCTGGGTCTGGGGACCTTTACATCTTACAGGGGATCTTTATAACCAGCAATGAGTAAGGAATGTTACTAGGAGTAGTAGTCATTTGCCGTCCATTTTCTGAGAGCAGGGCCTCAGGCACCAGCCATGGCACTCGTGATTTAAAGACTTTCCTTTTCCATTAGATGTTCCCTTTCTCTGTATAGATTTAGTGTCCACATTTTTAAACTTTTATTAATTTTAATTTTTTGCCCCTCATACTGAATTTTAAAAAATGGTACTTCCCTAGGAAGAACATCATTTTCAGCAGAGTTTCCAATAGATCTTAATAATAAATACTCAGAGTCAGCTATCAGGGGTTGAAAGCTGAAGGATAACAGAAGCAGAGCAGCCAGAACTAGAGTTTTTACCTCTACCAATGCGAAGACAAAGGTGATCCTGTCCTCACACTGCCTCCTCCCACTGACTGCTGTCTCTATGAAGCCTCAGGATGAGTGTTCAGACTGAATCCTCCCTGCATGTCCTCCTGTCTCCTCCCACTTTATATTCCTCTCTCTGTGCAGCCATATCACTCCTTATCTCCCCCTCCCTGTGGTCAACTTTAAGAAGTGTGATCCTAAGTGCTGGGATAACCTTTGAACTGTTTTTCTTTTAGACTGATTCTCACTCTCTCTGTCTTTCTGTGTCTCTGTCTCCATCTCTGTCTCTCTCTGTCTATCTCTATCTATCTATCTATCTATCTATTTATCTATATATCTATCTATCTGTCTGTCTGTCTTCTCTCCCATAGCCCACAGTTGCCTTGACTTCACAAAGATTCATTGGCCTCTGTCTCCTAAGGGCTAGAGTTAAAGCTTTGCCCCAGTATTGCTGGTCATGGATGACCTTGAGTACCTGATATCCTGCATCTATGTCTAAGTAGTGGCTTAGGTGGGAGGCTAATTAGTGACTTTGTGTGTGCTTAACTTGTGTCTTAGAGCATATTCGGGTGTGTAGCTAGCTAGTGGATTAGCTCTGCACTCAGATCTTCTGGCAAGCCTTATTTGTTAGATTAGAATCAAAATATTTCTACAGTCATTAATGAGAGATAGGCTAATGTTGCTCATTTGCATGTGTTTGCTACTGAGCTCTATAATCTGGCACAAAATGATCTGCTTCTCAAACTTCTGAGCTGTCGTAACTGTCAAGCAGGAGAGTTAACTAATTGCAAATTTAAAATTCATTGGCTACAGATAACCTTCCCAAACTGTGCACACACAAAAACTGGATATTGAAGACTCCTTACATGTGAGTAGGCTTTACCACATTGATTACATTCCTACAGTTTCTCTCCAGTGTGTGTTCTTTTATGGTATTTAAGACCACTGGCATGTGAAAAGACTTTACCACATTGACTGCATTCATAAGGTTTCTCTCCAGTATGTGTTCTTTTATGATATTTAAGACTACTGGCATGTGAATAGGCTTTACCACACTGATTACATTCATACGGTTTCTCTCCAGTGTGTGTTCTTTCATGTATGCGAAGATGACTGTTGTGTGAAAAAGTTTTATCACATTGATTGCAGTTGTAGGGTCTCTCTCCAGTGTGTGTTCTTTTATGTACTTGAAGTTGACCATGACTTGCAAATGCTTTACCACAGTGATTACATGCATAGGGTTTCTCTCCAGTGTGTGTTCTTTTATGTGTTTTAAGATCACTATGACTTATAAAAGCTTTACCACAGTGATTACATGCATAGGGTTTCTCTCCAGTGTGTGTTCTTTTATGTGTTTTAAGATCACTATGACTTATAAAAGCTTTACCACAGTGATTACATGCATAGGGTTTCTCTCCAGTGTGTGTTCTTTCATGCATGCGAAGATGACTGTTGCGTGAAAAAGTTTTATCACATTGATTGCAGTTGTATGGTCTCTCTCCAGTGTGTGTTTTTTTATGTACATGAAGTTGACCATGACTTGCAAAAGCTTTACCACAGTGATTACATGCATAGGGTTTCTCTCCAGTGTGTGTTCTTTTATGTGTTTTAAGATCATTATGACTTATAAAAGCTTTACCACAGTGATTACATGCATAGGGTTTCTCTCCAGTGTGTGTTCTTTTGTGTCTGTTCAGATGACTATGACTTACAAAAGCTTTACCAGACTGATTGCATTCACAGGGTTTCTCTCCTGTGTGTGACTTATGAGACTGCTGTGTTGTGAAAAAGCTTTACCACATTGATTACATTCATGGGCTACCTCACGAGCACCTGTTATTTTATGGAGTTTGAGATAACTGTGACATGCAAAGGCTCCACGTTTTTGAAGAACTTCATATGGTTTCCCTCCAGTGTGAATGATTCCATGTCTTTGAAGATGCCTGTAACACACAAAGGTTTTGACACATTGAGTATATTCACAGGGTTTTCTGTAATGGATGGGTTCTTTCATTCCTGCAAAGATAATTGGAACATATAAAAGCTTACCACTTCCATTATACTGATGAACCACGATGTATATATACATTGAATTTAAAATTTTGCCTAATTGCAAAATGAATCAGTTCTTAAATTTTATATTCATGATGATTCCATTCATGAGGAGTTGCTTTCTGGCTATGAAGATACCTGTGGCAGAGTGTTAGAGCCTTTATTTCTTGACCCACATCTATGGATTCTTATTTATGTGAGATTTCCACATATTTGAGAACTGGATGAACTCAGAGTTTTTCATAATTAGTGCATTCATAAGTTTTCCTGTATTTTGAATTATATTTCATTAGCTGAATGAACCAGGATAAATGAACATATACATACATTCCTAGACTCAGAGGGCTTTTCTGCAGTGTGAGTTCATTGATGTCTTCCCAAGGACGTTGGAAATCCAATTAACTGTAATCTTGTATCACATTGAATATAGTTACTCAAGGTGGGGAACTACTAAATAACATTCATATTTTCTATTTGCCCAGAGAGTGAGGGGGCCACATTGCTTCTTTCCATTTTCTATGCTCCCATGGCTTGTATTTAGAGTGATGAGTGATATACTTTTATTTTCATGATATTTTTTGAGACACGATTCTCTGTGTAGCTTTGGATTCTGTCCTAGAACTCACTCTGTAGACCATGCTGGCCTCCAACTCACAGAGATCCAGCTGCCTATGCCTCCTCTGTGGTGGTCTTAAAGGTATGCACAACCACTGCCCCGCTGGACAATATACTCTTTTTTTAATTTTTCGAGACAGGGTTTCTCTTTATTGTTTTTGAGGCTGTCCTGCTATCCTTGTACTCACTTTGTAGACTAGGCTGTCCTTGAACTCACAGGCATCCACCTTCCTCTGCTTCTCAAGTGCTGGGACTAAAGACATGTGCCACCAATGCCCAGTGGACAATATACTTTTACTAAAGCAAGAGTAACAAATAAATTGTTTGCACATTTCATTCCCACAATTTGGCTTTCTTTTCCTCAGAGACAGGTCATATAGCGATTAAGGTTACTTCCAAACAACCTTCTTGACACTCATATTCTGACCCTTTCAATATACTTAGCACAGTCACAAACATATGAGTAATGACTGTTTCATGATAGAATGTTTATTTCTTAAAAGTTCTTGGTTATAAATATATCACCTATAAATGTGTATACTGTTTAAAGTATCTGAGTGGTATGAAACTAAAAGGATTTGCATTCCTACAATGGGGTGTAATACCAATTCGCATAAGCTTGCACATAATAATTACCTTCTATTTCTTGTAGAAATGTTACAGTGTTCTTCAATATTATGGTCTTTCCACTTGTAGCCTAAAATACAACATCAGAAAATACATAAAATATGAAAGAATATTGCATCAATTTTAAATTAATATCATTGATGAACATTAGAACTAAGTCTTTTTCACCTAATATTCTCTTTTCTCAATCAAAATTACAGAAGAGTATTAATAGCCAAGAAACATGTTGTCCCCTTATTTAAAATCATGAAGGGAAATTCAGCCTCACCTATGGCAGAGAGGTACCTGTATGTCTCCAGCATCACATCCATGTAGAGACTTTTCTGGAAAGGATTCAACAAAGCCCACTCTTCCTGAGTGAAGGTGATGTGCACATCATGATAAGACACTGCATCATAAAAGAACCCATACATGTGCAAACCAGTAAGTTTGATTCTCACAGTGTAAATGTATGCTTCTTTGAAAATATAGATTATATAATTCTGGTGTTTCACACACTTATCTCATGACATGGACATTAAAATGTATTCACCCAGCGACTTTAGCAGGAAACAGACTAGGAGGTTCCCATGCAACATATCTTGTTCCTTTAAGTAGCCTATAGACTTGAGAAAGAAATCCCAGTGAACAGACCTAAAGGGAGAGGCAAGCCAGCAGATCAACACTACTGAGAACACATCAGAGAAATTGTACAACAGGGCCAGCCTATGACAGCAATACCCCAGTCCCTGGTTCTAACCTCTGTCTTTTATAGGTTTTTATTGCTGTGAACAGATGCCTATGAAGAAAACTTTTATTTGAGGTGTCTCACTTAAAATTTCAGAGGTTCACTTAATCATCATCATGGGAGGGGTCATGGCAGCTAGCAGGCAGATGCAGAGCTGAAGGTGTTGAGTCTTTACATCTTAGGGCAGGGAGGATTTGCATAAGCTATGCCCTATTCTAAGTCAGCTTCTTAAGAGGAATCACTTCTTTTGGGGGTTTTTCAAGTCAGGGTTTCTACTGTGACTTTGGAGGCTGTGCTTGAACTCACTGTTGTAGACCAGGCTGGTCTCTAACTCACAGAAATCTACCTGCCTCTGCCTCCTGTGTGCTGGGAATACAGGCATGTGCCACCAACACCCAGCTGGCTCTCTGTTTAATTATCAATACATCAGGCCATTAGGGAAAGCACAAAAGACCAAGGCCTGAGGCTGTCTGTAGCTCTCACAGGAATGATCCTCCTCCCTGCCTGAGGGCCTAAATGAAATCCTTAATTAATCAAGCAAGTACTTAATACAGCAGTGTTTTTATGTTTCAAATATTTGTAACCAGGTATCCTATTATGCAGTATCATTTGAGTGACCTCCTGGGTTTGTTTCAATGTGTGATAATTTCTTATGACTTCCTAGAAATTTCCTCTTTTGGTCCATTTTCCCTGGGAAGTCATATACATGATGCTATTCCTCAGCCTGGCATTGGTGGCACACAGGAGGCAGAGGCAGGCAGATCTCTGTGAATTAAAGACCAAACTGATCTACAAGAGCGAGTTCCAGGACAGCCTCCAAAGCCACAGAGAGACCCTGACTTAAGACAGCATCCCTGTCCTGTGATATGGGGATGGGCCTATAGACTGTTTGTAAATCAGGGTTTCTCATTTGTCATGGTTTGGAGCCATATGTCTGGACAGTCATGGAGAAAAATTCATACTTTAGCATCCTAACCTCTAACAGACCTGGTTAGCATACCAATTATCTTTGTGTTATTTTAGAGTCAGCACTCCCTCACGTGAATTCTATTTTGCAGGATTTACTATTCCCTAAAGATTGGTAAATTCTTTATATCAACAACTCTACTCTCCAATCATCACAGCTTAATAGTGGAGTGTGATCCAACATGAGAACACCATTACAGATGTCTTTAGTGTCCCATGCTTTAATCCATGCACTGGGGAGGCAGAGGCAAGTAGATCTCCATGAGTTTGGGGCTAGCCTGCTCTACAGAGCAAGTTGCAGGTCCGACTCCCAAGCTACATGGAGAAATCCTGTCTCCAAAACAAACAAATAAATAAAAACAACAACAAAAATAGGGGCTGCAGAGATGGCTCATTGGTTAAGAGCACTGATTGTTCTTCCAGAGGTCATGAGTTCAATTCTCGCCATCCACATGGTGGCTCACAACCATCCACAATGAGATATTTTGTTCTCTTGTGGTGTGCAGACATATATGGGGGAAGGATATTGTATTCATGATAAATAAATAAATCATTAAAAAATATATATGTATAACGAAAGAGACAGGCATTGGTGGTGCAGGCCTTTAATCCCAGCCCTCTGAAGGCAGATCTTTGTGACTTTGGGACTATTCTCCTCTATAGAGCAGGTCCCAGAGCAGATTCCAAAGCTATAGAGAGAAATTCTGTCTCAAAAATCCCAAAATAAATAAGTATAAAAAAAGAAAGAAAATGAATGCCATTTACACCATATCAAAATAAACTCCTAATTGATCTTATACCTAAATATCAAATGTAAAGTACAGAGCATCTAGAAGGTAATAGAGAAACTAAGTGGCTTCAAGTTTGACAATTTGCCTTGTGCATGCACCAAGAGCACGTTGGTGTTAACTACAAAGATATTTCTACACAAAGCTCCCTGATCAGAATGCTTTCCACAAATGCAGCCCACAGAGTGAAGAATTCACAGTACCAGGTTTGGAGTCAGGCCCCATGGGACCTCACAGAGCACTGAGTGTGGCTGCAGGTTCCCACCCAGTCTCCTTCCGGGGGAGGACCTGCCATGCTGTCTCCCAGGCCTCTCCATCCTGTCCTCCCCATCATAGGATAGCATCCCCTTGCTCACCATGCTGTGGCTTCCGTGCTCCTCCATGCTCCCCTCACATCCCCTACAGCAGCACTCACAGCACAGCAATCAATCCCCTGGCACCGGTCCTCCTGTGACAACAAGCCTGCAGCATGGCTTCAGGAAGTGTCCTGAGAGACCTGTGACTGGTATGTTGACCCAGTGACCCTTATTGGCTGGTGAGGCTTGAGTGACAAGAGCACTTCCTTAAAGACACAGCACAGGGGTCCCTGGCCTTGGCTCCTACTCTAGACCAGGGCCCTTTAGAGTTCTGAATGTCCAACAGGACCTGTTTACACTCCACGTTCAGCTTTCTATAGACTGGATTTGGCCTGTAGTTGGTCCTGGAAGAACAATCAAAGAACTCCATGAATACAGGCCTTCAAGGAGCAAAAAGAAAATATCACTACACATTGCCTTTTTTTGTCAAAAATAAGAAAGGTTAAAACTAATATAAGAAAAATTATGCAATAAGTTCAATAAATATATATCCAGTATACACAGGGAATAAATGCATCAACAATGTCTAGCCCATAAGCATTTGACAAATTCAGAAGAAAATATAGCAATATCTATACTATTTTGTTCAGTCCTATAGGTTGCAGCTAATTCACTGTCTATTATAACTTGCATTATCAAAACTATCTTTTCCTGTTTTTCAACCTTATACACTTTACATTTCTTAAATGAATTTCATTTCTGAAACTGATGAAAAAAACTACAACTGTAGCTATAAAGTCTTCAAATCCATCAGAGACGCAAGAAGGGAATAACATTACCCAAGTAAGCAGGAAGTGTAAGCAAGAAACTTCCAAAAATTGGGAAAAATGACAGAAACTGCTGGCTGCTTGCAGAGTCACCCAAAGATCCTCTGTAACATCGACTCATTCATCGTTGGCCTACCAGCCTAGCATAACTGACAGAATTTTCTATGAAGCTGTATTTGTGAAGAACTGTCCACCTTGTAGTAGGAAGTTTTGGCACTCATTCTCTTTTGTGTCCTGATAACCCAATTTGGACAGCATACTGTCTGCAGTGGAAGCAACAGCACTTTTTTGTCCAGTGGCTTAGTTTTGCTATAAAGAATGTAAAACCCATGTGGAGTTTCATTAATGCCCATTATGTTCTCTGAGGTATATTGGTGCTGCCAGGATCAGACATGTCTCTTTTTCTTAAAAAATCAAAACAAACAGAACCCAAAACAAACCAATGTAGCCAAATGATGGTAGTGTACAAACCTAACTCTGGAAAATCCATCAAGTCAGGATGCCACCAGAACAAGTTATCTCTATTTAGAAGGTGATGTTAAATTTCATTCGATGCTGTTTATTTATTTTTATTTTATGTGCATTGGTGTTTAGCCTACATGTATGTCTGTGTGAGGGTTTCAGGTATTATAGAACTGTATCTAAAGACAGTTGTGAGCTACTATGTGATTGCTGAGAATTGAATCTAGGTCCTCTGGAAGAGCAGCCAATGTTCTTAAATGCTGCACC